CTGGTGGGGAGCCCTGGGGTAGGATCGCCATGTTTACCAAATAAAATATAGAACACCCAGTTAAGTAAGCAAAGTTTTACTATAAGTATGTGCCATGCAATATTTTTTAGGCTAAAACAAGCATTCCCTGCTTATCTGAAAATCATACGTAACTGCATGGCTTGCATTTTATCTGGCAATCCCACCTGGGAGAGCAGGGACCAGGTCTGTTTTGCTCAGCGTTGAACCTCCAGTGCCCATTTCATGTCTGGCATATGGCAGACGCTCAATATATTCTTTTGAAATACTTAATTGTTGAAAAAGGCCTCTCAGAGGTCCCTCTCTCCCCGCTAAAAGGAAACATATCCCCCAGGGGCCAGCTTTGAACTCGCAAATTGACTCATTCAAATCATTAGACTAGAGCGCTTAGCTAGTGTTAAGATCTGTGCTAACCAAATTGGAACACAGAGATAAATAAACTGTGGCTCTTGTCCTCAAAATGGCAATTAACCAGCAGGAGCAATAGATCTGAACTGAGAATTACGAGAGAATATGATAGATGCTAGACAGTAAAACCAGAAGGTCAGGGCCAGGTGATTTTGCTCACCATTTTATCTCCAAGCACCTACAACCTGGCAGGCACTCAGTAAATAGTGGCGGAGTGGAAACGTGAAAAGACGGAGACAGGAACAGTGCATCGCAGGGCGGCAGAGGGGAGGTGACTAACTGAGGGAGGCGCGATGGTGAGAAGACTGGGGTCACTCCAGGGAGGGAATGACACCTGGTGTGGATTGTGATGTCGGAACACAGCAGACAGATGGAAAGGAAAGAGCATTTCTGAGGGAGGAACAGCATGAACACATACAACATTTTATCGAGCAGGAAGTAGCACCTGGGGGCCAGTGATGAGGTCAGAAACGTGGAAAGCCCTGATCACATGGTCAAGGAGACTGGGCTTTATCTTAGGGGTAATGGATGGTCCTTAAAGACTTTTGAGTAGAGCCTTAGCCTGCACATCAGGCATTAGCATTAGCATGGAGGGTGGACAGCAGTGGAGACAGACTGGAGGCCGGAAGCCAGTGAGAAACCACTGAAATAGCCTAGTCTGCAAACGATGGAGGCCTAAACTTGTGGATTATTGGGGGTATTGGAAAATAAGCCTGCAGGAAGGAAACCGTACCCTTAAGGACTCGCTGTGAATGCCTCCATCTGTCCCCACCCCGTTCCTACGTGCCCCAGGCGATGGGAGGGGAGGCTGTCGCAGAAAGGGGCAATTGTGGAGGAAGGGCAGATGGGAGGCAGCCCAAGACAAACTTCCTTCACTTCGAAGACTTGCCCAAGGAGACAGCAGGGCTAGAGCGATTGGAGGCTGACCCTCAGCCCCCAGGCTCTTCCCTCCCGCTGCTGCCAGGGGGGATGCGG